AACACAATTTTAGTGAAAATTGGAAAAAATATTGTATATAACACGTTACGAAATGCCGTTTTATGTAACTCGTTCATGTTGCGGTACCTAGATCTGCTCATTCCGAAAATATTTACTGGTTATTTAAAACAACCTATTAATTATTAATCTTATTCCTAGATTTGAACACCGGACTTTTCGCATAAGAACGTTATTAAGCAAAGAAAATAAATCGGTATTTAAAAATTTTAGCAGATAAAACAGCAATTTCCTGTCCCAATACAACGGTCCTTTTGAAGTAATGCCATGCATGAGCAGGACACGAACATATATAAGAATAAGATAAATGAACAGGAAAATTGGTTTTAAGTATTTTCAAAGTAAACTTGACTAAAAATGTTTAAATTTAACAAATAAAATAGTATATTATGTTACTAGGAGTAGAAGGCCAACATTATAATGTTGAGCCCAGAATTTTGCACAGCTGAGGCGTTAGCCGAAGCTGTGCAAACTGGGCGAAACATATATGGGCCTTCTAATCCGAGTGACATATACTATTTTTTCTTCAAGCATTTAAATAATAGTATGGATAAAAAAAATTAAAATAAAAAAGCTGAAATTAATAGAATATCTGTAAAACTAAATAACAGTTTAAAAAAATTATGTACCTACCTTAGTTTCTAAATATCTCTTGTTTGGTGCATTCTTAAGAAAGTTATCAAACTCCTGTTTAGAAATAACTTTTGACTTCTTCGGTTTGTAATTATCACCTTTTCGTTTTAAGAAGGCAATTAATTTTGAATAGTTTTCAATTTTGACATTATGTTTAATATTTAGTTCTGATTTCAGCATTGAATACTGCGACTACATTGTTGAACTTTTGAATTTTTCAGACAAATTAGTAAAATATGCGATCAGAACATTTTCTGAATAAAAATGTACGTGATTTTCTTCACTCCATTTCACAAATTTTGTGTAAGCATAATTGTAAACTTGTAAACTTTCTTCGATTTCGTAGGTATTAAGGTTTCTATGGAAGATTTCGCTATTTCTAGCAATTCGGGAGGTGTTGATTGCATTTCTTCTGACATTTTCTTTTTACTTGAAAAACACAGGTATTACGAACGGGTTAACACTATTTTTTTATATTCTAAATCATACACTGACAAACGTCAAATTAAATAAGTATTCAAATGACAGTTCCAGCCTACTTGATTGCAACGTTCATAATAAGTCATTTAACATTAGGTTTATGCTTTTTTATACTAGTACAAAAATGAAAAATATTTGTACTAGTATAAAAATAGGCTACTTCTACAACACGTGTACCTTGATATAATGTAAACATTATTATACGCTTGAAGAAAAAGTAATGTTTTTGTGTACTTACTTTTTATAAATAAATAATTTGTTTCCGCACACTTATTTTTGTTTCACATAATAAGAAAAGAGATTGCAAGAGAACTACCACGCCCAGAAAGTACACATTTGAGTCAAACTTGTATTTTTAGTCTATATCTTTTACTTATCTTATAGCCAGGTTATAGATTTTGTCACAAAATACCTATAATTTATGAGAAAAATTAATATTTTTATTAGTATTATTTACCTTAAACCTTCATATTTTTATTTACCTTAAACCTTCATATTTGTAAACGAATTTATTACAAAATAACCAATAAAGCTTAAGTAACTGCATAAAATCTAAAATTGACAAAATATCGAATTTTAAACACTAATGCTTATGTCCCACGTGACGTTACCGTCAGTCATCTGCATGCGCAGGAACATACATACCGTTAGTCTGTGTATCGTGATGTTTCCTCAACCTCAAATTATTGACATATTAAATATTCATTATATTTACAAGAATAAATGTACCTACAACTTAATTTGGTTTAACTTTCCTTCTCTAATTTTCTTTATTTCAATAATTTAACAACAATTTATTATCTAGGTATATGTTATACAAGACATAAAACATTTTTAAATAGAGTCAGTTCGGTTTCATTTTCGATAAGATCCCGTATATTATTTAATTAAAATTTTTTCTCGTGTTTTATTTGAAATTTATTGTCTGCTGTAACGCGTAAATAATTAATAAAGAACAGACCATATTACAATAAAACAATTTTGAAACGATGACCAATAATTAGAAGAGTCGGTTTCTTTTCTTCAATGAAAGTGATATTTGATTCGTTACTTCTAAAGGTTGTTCCGATCCTAAGACATCAAAATATTGGTTAAGTAGGTTAATTAAAAATATAAATAAGTATCTAGAGTCGAGATAGCGTGAACGGAATACTAGAATAGAATATAACCTAAATTTCTTTTATTCTTATAAGTATTAATGTATGGATTTTGTAAGTAAAATATTACATTTCTTCTCTCAATTAACACTGAACCAGAAGATATACAGTGTGACAATTTAAAAGCTTACAAACGAAATATGATATCAAAAAATGCTTAAAACTGTTTCTAGTATAGGAAGGGGGAACTAAAATGACAAACGAGAACTCACAAATTTGTAGTTCAACAAAAACTTCATTAAATTTTCCATTTAAGGCAAGGTATCGTAATTATTGATTCAACCTGTGCAAGTATTATTTATACTATTGGATAGCATTTTTTATAGACTTTTTTTAGTTAGGGCCTCTTTTGTTTGTGAAATATAGCCCAATGTAAGTTTTTAAATTATCACACTATACAAGGTGTTTCTAAACATCATGTCATAATTGAAGGAGGTAATTCCTTGGCCCATATTATGACTTAAAGTTCATATAAATATGTGTCCTAAATTGCTTTGTTTCGAAAATCATCAGTTTTTCATTAATATCATAAATATTCTTTTACGATTTTGATGAAATTTGGTACATTTGTTTGTTTGAGTAAGAGGCTAATTTAGAATTGATAAGATCGAAATTATCAATTCCAGTGCAGAACCCAAAGACAACCTTATTAATATTTTTGACAAAAAAGCACGCCACTGTGTTTTTCCATATTTTCTATTTGGTCTCTGAATTATCCAACTAAAAACCCAACTTTCTTGTATGCTGAGTTTTTTAATTTTTTTGCATTTTTATCGAGATAAAAATAAAAATTCTGTGATTGGACGCCACTACAACCAAAAAAAAATTTGAATTGTCTGGAAATTATGCTGGTTATCTCAATGGAAAAGTCTGAGTAAGTTTTTCTTATGAAAGCGTACTTGTCGATTCAGAGGGTGTTATCACCTATTTAAAACCCTGTAAACGAATACAAATGGTCAAACTCGTATGCTATTAAACGCTTTTAATTGTTGTTCTTAAAAAAGAAGCGAAGAAAACAGAATTTTTTTTTAAAATAATTGAACTTTTTTTTATATCTGCCATAATTTTCGATAAAAGTAACATTTTTTACATATCGCTAGTTGACAAAAAACATACAGATTAGAGAAATATTTATAACATAAATACTAACAAAACCTGGACTGTTTACATTTGTATAACAAATAAAATACCAAGAAAAACTCTGAAATCAAGGAAATACCAACAGCAGCTGAATACATTAATGATTAAAAATTTCCTACAATAATTGTAGGAAATGACTGCCCCAGCCAATATGCACGTCTTCTTATAGACGCTCGTACTCTCTTAAATATCCCTGGAGTATTTCTGATTGTTTCAAATTTATTAGTTATTCTATTTCATAAATCCTCCACATTATTTACTGGTATTTCATATACTAAAGCTTTAAGATACCTCCATAAGAAAAAATGTAAACTATTTAAGTCAGGTGACCTAGGGGACCATGGCTCTGGTCCGGCCCGACCTCTCCTTCTGTTAGGATACGCCTTATTTAAAAATTCTTGTGCCAAAAGAGAAAAATGTGGAGAAGCACTATCGTGCATGAACCATATACGATTTCTTATTGGTACGTTTTCAAGTAGCAAAGGCAATTAATGTTAAAACAAATCTCTGTATGAGTTACCATCTAGTCGGCCGGGCAAAAAGAAAGTTCCTATGAGATGGTCGTCAAGTGTACCACCCCAACTGTTCTTGGAAATGTGTTTCTACTATGCCATGTGGATTCTCGTCAGCCCATAGGTGGTTGTTGTTGTTAAAATTTATGATTGCATCCCTTGAGAAGCTTCCCTCATCAGTGAACAGGATTTCACGATCAAAATTAGGATTTACCAGCAGCCTTTGAAGGTACCATTGACAAAAAATTATTTTCAACGGGAAATCGCGTGGAAGTAGTGCCCGAACCCTTTGAATGTGGTACGGATACAATAGAGAATCATGTAAATTACGCCAAACAGTTTGGTGGCTAATATTCAGAGTTCTAGAAATTTGCCTAATGTGCTGGTTTCTGGATATTTTTCTATTTCTGCTAAAACCGCTTCTTCTATTTGTGGTGTCTTAACAATTCGAGGCCTGTCGCCATCGCACAGTGAAGTATTTATATCAAATTTCTGGCCAAAATATAATGAATGAAGTTCTATGCTCAAAATTGATTCGAAAGACTATTTAGATGCAGAATAACCTTTTATTAGGCAAAATATGAAAACTACAACGGCAATAATTAAAAAAAATTAGTCAGATTCGTCTTCATCATATTCGTCCTCCGACTCAATTATTCCTTTTTCTTCGTCAATTTTTTTAATTTCTTCTGCTTCAAAGCCACTTTTCGTCTTCTTTGTGCTTGCTTTTGTTTCCACGTAACGTGATTCTGGAATTATAAGTTGCAGAGTTTCACTGGAAAACGGATAGCTCCATTTTTTAAACTTTGCCTCAGTCTACCCAATAGAGGATCAGAGGTAAGCAAAAGCCTGTTTAGTATGTCCCTATTGCAAATTACTCGAGATAATTTCCTCGTAAAATTCATCCTGTACGAACGGAAATGTTTATTCCGGGCTTCTACAGCCTCCTCCGATAGGTAACCAATTGGCAATAAAGCTTCCGAAATCACAGTTGCTCCGTGAACCAATATTTTGTGAATGGTTGGCGTCATGAGATGCCAGTTGTATAGGTTCACGATAGCTATGCAGTCTCAGATGCATATGCTGAAAATTTTTCGACATCAATCATATGTTCACTGCTTAATGCTTCAAGTATCACCTTGAATCTTTCTATCAAGGTGACATCAATACCTGTTATGCGAGCAGATATCTCGGGATCTTGAAAAAACCTTCGCGAGGTGTTCCCATCATTTGTATTCCCAAAGTCAGCTTTAGCAATATCGACCAACAGCCCCAATTCTACTTTAAACGGCTCTTGTATTCTCTTCTTTGTTTCAGCATGGATTTCTTTGTCTTCTGCACTTGTGAGCCTCCATTTTATGATGGAAAGTTTGTACGCTAAATGCAGAAGTGATTCGAAAAATCTAATTCTGTCATGTAGAATAGATAGCCCGAAACTCACAGCTTGAATATTTTTTTCTTTTCTCTTACTTAAATCATTAAAATCTTTTGCGGTTATTCCGCAAATATAACACCTCATTGTGGATTTCGTATCAGTGACAGCATTGCAGATTTTTGCGTTGACCACTGTAAACACTAAAGTGTGTTTTACATGAACACAAACACCATTCGTAGTTGTTATTTCGGATTTTTTTAAATCTTTGACTTAATTATCTATATACAGCTTCTCTTCCTTGGTGGTAATTGTTATTTCTCGAACAAAACGAATACGAATCGGACGGCAGAATCTCGTAGATGACGGGACCAAATTTTGCCACAAAATCTTTTCACTGTCACCAACTTTCGTTATCAATCTTATGGGAATTGGGACGCTTGTGACAATTTAGTGATAAGTTCAATATTATTTCTTTCTTCTTCGGTGTTATTTTCTTTAGATATTCACATAATCTTGTAGAAGCATGGTCAAGTAGTTCTTGTAAATGAACTACTGCACATGTTTCCGTAACATGTATGGCTTCTTTCTTAGGGTAGCACTCTTGCTTGGCCTTCTTAAGCAAAGAATAACAAGGCTAAATATTTACGTTAGCAGACTGTATCACTTTGTACTGTTTTCTTGTGAGATCTGCCTCTACAAAATGAGACAAGGCTTCAAATGGAGTATGCTGTTTGATGATTTCTTTTTGGAGTGGCTGTTGCCTCTGTCATTAATTTAGATAGGTCAGTGTTTCAAGAAGCCCTTTGACTCATAGCAGCGGCAAAAGTTAGTTCTTCAGCAGAAGTTTCTGATCTTATACCATGCGTTTTACGCCTCTTGCTTCGATCACTTTATTTTTAAAAAGGTTTCGTGGGTCTGCCTGATTTTGGTGCCGATTTATGTGTCCAAGTAGGTACGTTAATGTTTTTTTTTCAGCCATATCTGGTTTTTTTCCAAAAAACGGTCGCTTTTTCTACAAGATTCCTCCCATATTTCTTGAAATCACTTTTAAAATAACGCAGGGAACGTTTTACTGTATCTATTTCGGTTATCGGACAGCAAACAATTTCTGTGCATCGTTGGTATTCTTTTTAAAAGTACCAGATTCTGCAAGGCGACGGTGAACAGCTGAGATTTGGATGTTTGCAAATAAAGACGCCTGGCTTCAATTGTATTTCCATTTGCAAGGCTATAGATAAAGTGTATATCAGCCATTTCCGAATTTGTAAAAGTCATAACATTTTTTGGATCGACGACTCATTATTGGCATACAATCAAACCGTTTTTATTTTTTATCTCGATAAAAACACGAAAAATAGAAAGTTTAAGAGACAAAAAATACGTGTTTTTGATTGGCGAATTTGAAAAAGAAAAGAAAAAAATATGAAAAAGTCAGTGGCGTACTTTTTTTTTCTCAAAAATATAAATTAAGTTGCCTTTAGGGATGTCACTGGAAATAATAATTCAGATATAACTAGGTCAAAATTAGTCTTTTACTACAACAAATAAATCTGCCAAGTTTCATCAAAATCTGTCGAAGAGTGTTTATGATATGAATGAAAAATTGATTATTTTTAAAACTTTGAACACCCTGTATCTTTAAAACAAAGCAATTTAGGACACATGTATGTATAAACTCTTAGTCATAAATTGTATCAAGGAATTACCTCCTTCAATTATGATATGATGTTTAGGAACACCCTATATATTTTTATATATATATTTTTTGTATTGCAGACCTGATGATGGCCTTACAAGCCAAAACTAGTCGCACATTTCGTGATATAATTGAATAAATAATATTTTTGTGATACTGATTTTGAGTGTTTTTCTTACTACAAATACAAAATAAAGATCGTTCAATATAAACAAAGCAAAATGTTAATTGCCGACTTCTACATTCAAATCTACGGAAATTTACTTTACATAATCGTTCTTTTTTAGCAAGATGTGCTGCACTTCATGACATTTAACTTCAGATACGACCTTAACCTCAAATGTCAAGAATTAAACATGCGCCTATTTATGTATTCAACAAATTGTTTCTGTGTTCTGTTAAATAATTCCGGTGCTGATATCGAGCATCGACATTCTTTTATAATAGATTTATTACGAAATTACTAAATCACGATTCACGTTTATTTCAATTTATTAATAAACGGTTTTCTTTTGCAGGTGTGGGCATGATTCCAGTCAAGGAGTAAGTAGTTCGGAATTTTTTTATGTGGTATTGCAGACATGAGTTTACTAATAGTTTATTATAAGCGAATACTTTTTTTAGAATAAGTAATATTAGAAATTATTGTTATATAAATATGTGTGTTAGACGGATGTTGTCCCACCCAGCCATTTTCTCAATGGACTGTGATGATGAGATGCTTCCATTGTCATATACTTAGTCAGTCAAGCGATTCAAGCGATATTAAAAGATAGCAGTTCCTTGCAGATAAACTCAAAGCCTCTGAATTAACTTTATGCAGGCCACAGAGGACATAAGGCCAATGAAGATACTGATTTACTAGCTTAAGAAAAAGCCCCAAAGTCTTTTTGTCTAGAAAGTTTACAGAAATACCATCGACAAACTAATAGTAGGCTTACTAGTAGGGCATTGTATGCTTAATAGACATATTATGCATAACATTAGCCTGGTAGAAGAGGCCTTATGTCGATTCTGTCAGGAAAAGAAGGACACTGTAGTAAACATATTGAGCTGCCGCGAAGGTCTATTAAGACTGAGATTCGTTACACTTGGAGAAGAAAAACCAAGAACAATTAGCCACACTGAAGAGCTATTTCCTGGTCTCTGGTCTACTAAAAAAGAGACCAAACTAGATAATGTACCTTAACCAATTATCAAAGGATTTTTATTTTTACAATGGATCTGAAAATGCCTATAGTTCCAACCATTATCTAAAATTACTAAAGCGTGAGAAACTACTGTTTTCCAACCGTGAGTTCGAGTAGAAACTCAGGTTGCTCTGAGTTTATTTTCGCGTTTTTTTAGAGATTCGGAGTGTGATCTGTCGCGTTCGATATGACTCTGAGTAAGGACTCCGAGTGCACTCTTTTAACTCTGTGTTAGAAGTATGAAGACTAGTCTTCATAGAAGATCGAGATCTGTCGGAAAATGTCAATTATGTCAATAAACGGTACATATTATTGTTCTGCGGGTTTGTGCTGGGTAATATTTGTATTTTAAAATTATTTAACTCATATAGATTATTATAAGTAAATTCTGAAAGTTTATTTTATGTTATTCTATTGTAATGCATAATAATTAACTGACCGTTGACTGACTTACTGGATTGAGGTTATGATTTTTACTCTGAGTGACAGATCCTTGGGTGAGTGGGTTCTATACGTTGTTGGATCAACCTGGAGTTGTCCAAAAAGAGCCTGTCTTTTGCGATCTAAAGCTTCACATTCGCACAGTATGTGTTTGACAGTGTCTGGTTTCTTGTGACATAGTTGGCACATGAGTTCCCCATTTTACATGCTAATTTTGTTTAAGTGTCCCTTTACTGGGGCGTGCCCAGTCATGAACCCTGTTATCACTTTCAACTGGTTCCTATTCATAAAGAGTAGTTCTCCAGTTCTTTTGGGACATGGTCTGCCTATGAAAGCTTTTCCATGTGCCTATTTTGGGGTGCTTCCTCAATAGTTAATATGTTGTTCCCGAATCCAGTCGTTTATGAAACCCCGAACTGTACTTTTTGGTACTCCTGGGTTTGTGTCTGGTTCCGGTGTTTCTTCTGACCCTCTTTTTGCAAGTTCGTCAGCCTTTTCGTTGCCTTCGATCCCTTGGTGACCTGGGACCCAAAATAGTTAGACCCGTCTGTATACCAGGTTTGTTCCTGTCGTTGGGCATTGGGCTCCCTTATGGTGATCTCCGCTCTTTCCTGTATTAAAACCTCAAATGGAGTATTAAAAGAGTACCTCTTGGTCATGTGGTCTGATCTCATGTCTAGCACGTCTCCTGTCACTAACCTTGAGATAGTCATGTGACCTGGCCTAATGTCAAGAGTTTCCAGTGTATTCCCTAATCTGTAATCATCTAATCTTGCCTCTTCTTGTATCACATAGTGAAGAGGTGGGAGTCCTATTAGTGCTTCCATTGCAGCTGTGAGGGTTGTTATTATTTCTTAATAAACTAATGTTTTTTTTCAGTAGAAAAACTGACGTGTTAAGTTGGCAAATTGTTTCGGATACAACATCTTCATCATCGAGGTCATCACCACAACTTATTGAAAAAAATAGAGATGTTCGCATAAACATTATGGTAGCGCCACGATCCAAACTTGGATGTGGGTAAGATGCATTTTTTTTTTGTTAAATTCTTCTCTAATTAAAGAGAAAATGAGCCATCTCTACTAAATTTATGCAATTCTTTATATAAAAACAAATTTTCTTTTATTTTAGAATCTGTAAGGGTCCTGAATACAAACCGGGAATATTCGTACAATTTACAAAGGAAGGAGGAATCGCAAGGGAAGCAGGACTTCGTCCTGGCGACCAGATTATCCAGTGCAATAACGTTGATTTCTCTGACATACTTTTTAATGAAGTAAGTAAATACATTTATTAAGTTCATTATACAAACCTTCTTTTAGCCTTTTTTAAAATCCCATCTTATTTTTTCAATATTTCCTAATAACAATTTTTGTATTTTACTTCATTGGATCTTAATTCTGTCCTATATTAAGTAATTTTTATAAAATTATGTCCTATCTAAAAAAAAGATCCTAAAGCTGCATCCCCTGTCCCCCCTTCCTTCGTCAAGTCTGCTGGTAATAACGTTTCAGTCTAGGGGGTAGTCGTAATATTTAAGACTTTATTTTTGATAATAGTACATTGTAGTACCTACAAAAAGTTAGGTTTAAAAATTCTTGGGGGTACTTACCCCCATTACCACCCCCGTATATGCGCCCCTGTTAAAAACACATTTGTCGATTTATTAATTTGAATATTGTTGTTATTCATTTTTATAGGTTGTCATGGAAACGACAGTTTTGCATAAACTTGTCTATAAAATTAAAATTACTTAGATAAAAAGAGTTATTTATTTAAATAATGTACTTATATGTAACAGTAAAACGATAATATTA